GTAGCAAAATTACAGTTATGAAGAGCAACAAAAATAATTTTATGGTTGGGGGTCACCACAACATGAGGAACTGTATTAAAGGGTCGCGGCATTAGGAAGGTTGAGAACCATTGCATGTGATATCTTATCTAGTGAAGGGAACCACAGGCTTATCTGCACGTCCCCGACCTCTCCATAGTGTAATACCTTCACAGGCAACATGGGGGTGAACTTGATCATGGTCCCTTTGTTGACACATCTCAGCTCTTCCTCCTGTTTTTTCTCTCTGACTTAGATAACAGCAGGGAGGAGGGGAAATGGGCAGAGTACCCCCAGCAAAGTAAGTCCGGTGTTTCGGTGCAGGGGGGCCCAAGTCTGGGTGTGCTGGGGGTTAGGGGTGGAGTCACAGAGTCCATCACCCAGGCAGAGAGAATGCAACACTTATTTATGTTTTTGAACTTTTGTCCCCTGTGAGTGTGAGACAAATGAGGATTCATTTTAGTTAGGAGTATTTCTCATCTGTCAAATCTGAAAATCTCCTTTAAAAGAAGCATTGGGGCCGAAACCGGTTTGGCTCAGTGGATAGAGCGTCGGCCTGTGGACTGAAGGGTCCCAGGTTCGATTCCAGTCAAGGGCATGTGCCTGGGTTGCGGGCACATCCCCAGTGGGAGATGTGCAGGAGGCAGCTGATCGATGTTTCTAACTCTCTATCTCTCTCCCTTCCTCTCTGTAAAAAATCAATAAAATATATTAAAAAAAAAAAAAAAGAAGAATTGGGTTGGGGCTTATACCAAAGAGAAAATGCAAGTAAGTATTAAGATTTGCCAGTAAATTACAGGCATTTCTTAGTGTTCCATTAGTTTCCGAAACCAGGCAAAACAATTTCTTGCAAACAGCTAATTCCACAGAAGTCTGAAAACCATGAGTTTCACTCTCATCTTCCCTTTGGGTGCCTGGAACCTCAGCAACAGTATGGATTCCCCCTACCCCTCCCTCTCCAGTCCTGGGCCTTTCCCTCCGCCCCCTCTCACTGTCACACACTGGATTCCCAGCTGCCACTGATGTCTCTTGTGACCAATGGCCGATGCTGGTGGGCAGGGTCTATGCTTTGGTTCAAGAATATCCATACACCTTAGCACACTATTCCGATTCATTGAGTATTTGTAGAACCAAAGGTGTGATTATAAAAAAATGATTTTAAAATACTGTTTGGAATGTGACTGGGAAGATCACAAGGTTCTGAAGCTGAGATGCGTGGGATGACCTGGAGCAGAGGTGCCCTACAAGTTGGCCACAGAGCATTATTCTGTCACTGCCATCCCCTAATTTCTTTTTCTCCTTTTTTATTTTTTTCTTCAGTCATCCCCTAATTTCTACACTCCCACAGGAGCAGAGCTGGGTAGATATGGCATACATAGAGATCAGAGAGAATTCATACCTACACTTACTTGAGCCTTTTTCCCTATCAAAAAAAAAAAAAATTCTAATAGGGAAGGAAATAAAGCCAGATGTGTAGGTCACAGCGTCCCCTCTTATTTTCCTACTTGGTCTTCTGGTGGTGATGCTCAACTGTAAAATGGCTTGAAAGAAAAGGAGCTTCGAAAGTAGAGACAAAGGCATGAGGGGGCTCTCATCTGGGAAAGAGCCACTGCACCAGCTGGTGCTCCAAAGGGCAGAGGTGGGGGGGGGTGCTGAGGGGCTGTTGGGGTGACTCAGGCAGCTAGGACCCTGAAGCGGTCACCACTGGCTGCTTCATGGAAGAACTAAACCTCAGAAGAGTTTGAAGGAACAACGAGAATGAAACGCTCAAGTCTCAGATACTAGGGACTAGTGAAGTGGGGCATGCTCCATCAAGGTGACATGAGAAATGGACAGAGAACTCCAGTGCCATCATGGCGGAGGAAGTGGCCACAGAGCCACACACGTGGGCAGCAAGGAAGGCCCTGAAATCCACTTGAGCCCAGGGGCATGGGAGCCATTCTCTGAATGGGGCTAGTTGAGGTGATGCTAGGCGGCCTGACCCTTCTCAGGCATAGACATGAGCTGCAGCAGGGGACCCCGAGGAGCCAGGTCTCCCCTGGCTCCCCCAGGCCACCCAGAAGTCAAGGGAATGCAGCCAAAGGAAGGAGGGCCAGAGGCAGATCTATCTCTAGCATCACGGAGTCAGTCTGAGGGGTGTGAATGCCACCCTCTTCTCTGATCAGGCAGGGATATGGGGACTAGGATTCAAGCTCTAATAGCCAGAAAATGAGAATTCTAATTCAGTTTTCCTAGTGATTTGCCCTCAGTCCTTTAAACCCCGCCTCCACCCCCATCCTCTACAAAAGTAAGCCCATCTTCTAAACTGAATTAATAATGAATATGGCCCAGCCAGCGTGGCTCAGTGGTTGAGTGTCAACCTATGAACCTGGAGGTCACAGTTCAATTCCCGGTCAGGGCACATGCCTGGGTTGCATGCAGGCTTCAACACCAGTGTGAGGAGTGCAGGAGGCAGCTGATCAATGATTCTCTCTCATCATTAATGTTTCTATCTCTCTCTCCCTTTCCCTTCCTCTCTGAAATCAATAAAAATGTATTTTTAAAAATAAATCATGAATATGAATGCCACAAGTCATTTATGCCTGAGATTGTGACTTGGGGAAGTGATAAGTTAGAAATTTGCAATATAAAATCATTCATTCATTCAACTAATATTAGCAAAGGGCCCACAGGGTACAAGCAACGTAGAGATACAGTAATGAACACGAGAGGACTCTTCAACCCTGAAGCTTCAAATAAATAAAATATTGATTTCCCCAAGTCCTTTCATATAAAATCCCCACAAACCCTTCAGTGGTTTGCCAACCTTTCGGACCTCATGGACCACCAGTTGGCGACCGCTGCTTTAGAAATATTTTTTTCTTCATTTTTGTACGCAGAGGCTTGATAATAGAATCTATTTGCAAAACAAATAGTTGGGGGGTTGGGGGGGGGAGCAGGGAAAGCACTCCAAAGACACCCAAACTAAATGTCTCAGCTAAAAACAGGGACTACAAGTCTTATCTGAAATATACTGAGATAATGGAACTGATACCCTGCGGCAGCCTCTGGCATATAATTTATGTCTTAATTCTCAATGATAGTGTCAGAGACAACTTATATTCACTTGCATTTGTGTTAGTTTTAAAATCATTAAAAAATCAAATTTATTTTTATGCAAGTATTTTATGCACATAATTAAAAGAATCAAATGTATAAGGCTTATGTCAACCACAAAAAGTCAGTTCCTTTGCCTACTTCCCTTCCCTAGGTTCATTCACAAAGTTAACTACTTTCCACTCTCTTAGCTGTTGTTCCCCTAACCAGAGTAATATCCAAAGTGTGCTATCTCTTGATTCAGCTATTTTAGAGATGAGGCACTGATGTCCCATTGTGATAAACATTTCATTCCCAAACATTCCCATTTCACTGCTGATATTCAGGCGGTCACACATTACCAGAGCAAAATTAACTTCTGGGCTAGTTGGGGCAGAAGCTTCCTCAGTGCCCTCTCCAGGCCGACCTGCCTGCTCTAGTTCCTGTGCTGGCACACCCTGGCCTTCCCCAGGACCCAGCAGCTAAAGGGGCCCTCCAGAACTCCACCACAGTGCTGGGACCACTACCCGTTCCGACTGTCCAGTGCCTGTGCTGTATTCATCAATTCCCAATCCTCTGACCTTCCCAATATAACTGTCCCAATTTCCAACTGAATTCATATTTGGGATGTTCATTATTATGTTTATACAAATATTGTTCACTGTGGAGTCAATCTGTAACTATGATTACATTTTTCTTGTACAGCTTTCTGCTTTTACTGTAATGAATAAATGCCTAATTTTTTTTTTAAATTCATTTCTTTGGACACCTGAATACAGACTGCTCTATGGAGTGAAACTTTGGACTTGCTGAGGGACTTCAAGTTTCAGCTGTCTGTCTGGGGTTTTAAAATAGAACAAACTTGCCCTCGCTGGTGTTTCTAAGTGGTTAGAGCATCAGGCTGTGCACCGAAGGTTCTCGGGTTCGATTCTCAGCCAAGAGCACATACCTGGGTTGTAGGTTTGATCTTAGCCCTAGTCAGGGCGCGTGAGGGAAGTAACCAATCGATGTGTCTCTCTCACATTGATATTTCTCTTCTTTCTCTTTCTCTCTCCCTTCCTCCCCCTGCTCCTTTCCACTCTCTCTAAAAAAAAAAAAAAAAAAAAAAAAAAAAAAAAAATCAATGGAAAAAATATCTTCAGGTGAGAATTAACAAAAAAATTAAAATTAAATAGAACAAAATTTTTTTAATTATAAAAATTTCCAGATACAAGAATATATCTATCACACAGACCCAATGTTATCAAGATTTTTACCACATTTGCTTAAGCTATTCCTTTTCCTTTTCCTTTAGCTGACATATTTCAGAGCAAGTCCAAGACATCAAGTTCATTAAACAATATACATCTCAATATGTATCATTTTTAAAAGAGAAATTTTCTTTTATAATCATAATGTAATTATCTAATCTAGGAGAATTAATAATTCTTTTGTTTGCAGGCTTTTGGAGTGAAATAATTCATACAGAATTATATACTATCAAAAACACTGCCTTAGAATAGCATATTCTGTATACTCAAACAATTTAAAAATGAAATTTAGTATGTTCTGAAATGCAAGGTACTGAGCTACCATTCAACTAAAGCTGGGTTCAAAAGTGCCTAAGACAACTCTTACAAAAAAACAGTATAAAGATTTTAGTCATTGCACATTATTTTAATAAAAAACAAACTGCTTTATACAAATATACAGATCTCAAATTGTAACATTAAAATACAGAATACCATAAAGTGGCTATGTAAGTTTTCCTAATTGAGACAGACTTTCTGTCACATTTTGACATTTATGATTATTAACACATAATAAACACAAGAAGTATAGATTTCCAACCTCATGATTAATAAATTCCTTTGCAAACGAATGAAGGTACAATCATCAAAAGGGGAAACAGTTGGCAAGTTAGATAGCCCTGCCTACATTGTGTTAATATGAGTAAAAGACACAGCAGGAGCTATAAGGAACTGTAGTTAAATATTCGAAGTAGGGGCAATATAGCTTTCTCAGACTTCTACCAATGATTATATCCTTGATATATAAACATCCTTAAATATAAAATAGTTCAGTATGATTACATCTATATTTATTCCACATGACAATTTCTTAATGTATTACTCTGATGTATATTTTTGAACTGGAGTCATATACAAAGAAATAATGAGAAATCCTTAAAAAATATTATTCACAAGTCAAATTATGCTTAAAAATTAAAAGGTCTATGGAAAACAATGTGTGGGCAAGAAATACTGGGAGAAATTCTTCCACAAATAATAGCTGTCTTGTCTTCTAACAAAATAAAAACAAAACTTCCTACAATTAAACTCACAGACCTAAATTAGCTGAACTAGAGTAACAAAGTCAAAGCTAGTCTTTCATTTGCACATTCATTTGATAAAACAAATCACATTGAAAACAAAAAAACACCAAAAAACCAAAAACAAAAACCCTCCTGTGCAGAACTGGTGATTCCTCTCAGCACTTAAATGAAGACAACTGTTACACAGCTCTTTTTTAAAGAAAGCAGTATATCCAGGAAACTGACAGAATGTTACTCATAAAATTCCATAAAAGCTGTAAAGCAGCCAAGAGTTGATGGCATTTAAGGACAGTAAAAGATTGTACTGTTTATACTCATTGATGGGCTTTGTGCCAACATTTAAAACTATGCTTTTCATCGACTATAGACGAAACATTGAGGAAATACAATATTACATCATACCCCAGGACAGTTATTACATCTGTATAAAGAAATCACTAAAGAGTTACTTGTTATTTTAAATGAAGTTCTGTCTAGGCATCAGACTTTAATCTAAATGCTGACAGTGCCTAATTTCAACTCCTGAGATAAACAAAAATAGCTTACGTATCAAGATAAATTCTCTTTGGCCGCAATGGATACCATTTTCTCTGGGGGCAGTCTTTAGTTTGCTTTCTTTTGAGTACCACGTTAGTGGTTTTGCTAGTAGAAGTCTCTGTTGGTGTGGTTTCTATTTGTGTTATAAAGCTCTCAGGTTTAACATCTGGCTCCCTATAACAACTGGAAAAGACTTCTTGGTGGATTCTCTGGAGTTGGATAACAGGCTGCATCTTCAAAACTTGGGAAAATCCATCTCCTTGTTCAATTAATGCAGGCAAGGACTTAAAAAAGTAAACAAACAATAATACTCAAAATTAATCTCAGGTTGAAACAGAAATACACAGCTGCTGGCCTGATTGCCCCTAACCGCTTCTACCTCGGCCGCTGCCACTTTGTGGCTTTGTCCGGAAGGATGTCCGGAAGATGTCCGGTCTAATTAGCATATTACCCTTTTATTAGTATAGAAGATATTAAGACTCCAATTTGATATGCTATATACTATAGTGGTTAACAATATAAGCTCTGGAGCCAAATAACCAGAGTTTAAATACTGATTGAGTTACTTATTTGGGCAATCTAGTTAGCCTCTCTGTGCCTCAGTTTCTTCAGCTGTAAAATAGGGAAATAGCAGTACCTATCTCATAGGGTTATTGGAAGGATAATGAGGTAATATAATATATGTAAAGCAGTTAAATGGTACCTGATCCATGCTAAATGCTCACTAAATGTTAGCTGGTATTATTATCCAAAATCATTTGTTGGACTGCTAACCCTCAGAACTCAAAAATATAACCAACCTTTAAAGAAGCCAGGTATAATACTGGTACACAGTAGGTACCTAATAAATGGTAGTTATTCTGAATGTCACTGTTGCTTAATTAAGTCATTAATGACCTATTTTAAAAACTACTAAGAATTCCTATTACAATAGACTAAAACACATATGGCTGCTAAAAGCAAATACCTAGCTACAGATTTTGTTCATTTTATAATTTTTTAGCATATAACTTTTACCTTCATGGCTTCACTGATCTCCTTAGCTACTGTTTCTCCTCTGCATCTCAAATTTTCCACACGAGAGGCTGCAAAGGAACCGCCAAACAGTATTTTACATTTTTAAATCTAATAACATCATAAAACACATGCAGATGCTACCTAGATAAACATTTGTCAGGACTATTCACCTTAGTTCAAGCTTTCTTAGGATAGTTTATAATCTATTAAAACAAGTGTCCTTTTAAATTTATCTAGATACATAAGACTAAAAACATAAGAACAGTAGAGTAAAAGAAATAGTTATACACATAAGACGGTAGACAACAAGAGTTGTATTATGAGTAGTCTTAACACTGTGACTCCAGAAGAAAGCATGTTTGTTCCATATATTATTTACCATTATGTTTAACATCTTCAAGCCCTATCATCACATTTAAAATAAACATGGGCTAATATTTGATATTTATACTATTCTGAATTTTATAAAAATAAAACATATTTGGACTTTAGAATTTGTATTCACACTGCATCAAAGATACCTAAATGGAACTTCTGGAATAGATTGTCGGTAGTATATTAATTTTTCTTTTCTTACTTCTTTGATGCTTTTCTAATTCCAAATACATTTTCTTTTCTTTTAATCTCTGTTATAAATGTTCACGGCTACTTCATAACAGACCTGCATATTCAGGGATAAAACCTAAAACTCCAAGAGAAACCAGAAATGTGAAAAATCATTCCATTATGAAGTTGTCTACAAATTAGTTTTTAGTCACTAGAAATTTCCTTTTTATTTCCAGTGTCCTGACCGGGAATCAAACCTGAGACCCTTTGGTGCACAGGAGGACACTCTAACCAACTGAGCCACATCAGCCAGGGCAGAAATTTCATAAAGTCTAGGCAAACAAGTACATAACTATGTTAGAAGGACTATAACTTTATCAGCTTCAAGAGACTGGCAAATAAGTCAAGAAAATTTCTTTCATAGCTGCTATTTTCCTTTTCTGACTTTCCTTAGCTCAAAAAAGTGAGAACACTTCTAGAAAAAAAGGAAATGAATAGTAAAAGCAAATGAGAGAAAGTAGGCACTCAAAGTTGAAAGCAGGCCCTGAAAGAGCAGGCACTCAAAGGTAACATGATGGGCTCAAGAAAGGGTTCTTAACCATTTTTGTTATCAGAAATTTCTTTTGAAATCCAATGAAGCGTATAGACCCCTTCTCAGAACACTTTTTTAATGTACTGGTTTTTTAAATTGATATATAATTTACATACAGTGAAATATATATCAAGTTTAGCATTCAATCACCTTTAACAAATATATACCAGGATGGACATTTCCATCACTCCAGAAAATTCTTTTGTTCCCCTTCCCCAGTCAACCTTCTCTATAGGAAGCAACCATTCATGTGATTTCTATCATTATACATTAGTTTTGCTTACTCTAGAATTTCAGAATGTTTTAAAATAAAATTTAAAAATATGATTATTTAAAAGTTCTGCCCTGATCGGTCTGGCTCAGTGGATAGAGCGTCGGCCTGCAGACTCAAGGGTCCCGGGTTCAATTCCGGTCAGGGGCATGTACCTTGGTTGCGGGCGCATCCCCAGTGGGGAGTGTGCAGGAGGCAGCTGATCGGTGTTTCTCTCTCATCGATGTTTCTGACTCTCTATCCCTCTCCCTTCCTCTCTGTAAAAAAATCAATAAAATATATATTTTTTAAAAAGTTGTATATGTAACATGTGTCCCTTTACTAATGATTTAAATAACATCATCAAGTGGCAGGTCTAATAATTACTGTAATATGAAAATAATGAGTATAAACAATATTGTGAAGTATCTGCAACAACTGAAATTGAAAATATCTGTGGCTTCTAGTAGCAAAAAAAGTTACAGGTATGGCTAGTATCACCACCATTTCCTGCATTCTAAATGGAAAGGAAATGCTAAATTTCAGTTTGAGGTTAGTAAAAATAGCAATGTAATTTTTTTCCTACCCAAGCCTATAGTCCCCTATATTCTAATAATTGTATTTATTGTACACATGAAAATGCAATGGGCATATTACTTGAAAATATATCTAACACACTGTTTAAAAATAAGTTTATCCTGTTTCCCAACTATGCAGACACTCCGCATTCTTAAGCAAGGTAGTTACATTTGTTTATGTGTACCTGTGGATATAAAGTCATCAAGCTGTGCACTGTATGTACACCCTAATACAGTATATACACGCATACACACAATAACGAACAAAATCTTTTTAAATATTTACTCTAGAAAATTGTCCTACTTTTATGTATAGGGCAAGACAATCATATTCTTCTTCATTGTTACTGTATGGTTTACAAAAGAATCTATCATCCAAGGTATCCTTAATTTTTTAAAAACACGTGCTACTTTTTAATTGTCTATAAACCCACACTGATGGACAACAACAGCTGTTCTCCATCTGCTGCACAAGCAATGACAATGTAAAAAGTACCAAGAGTAGTTTGGGTTTGTGTGTAAAAAGGAGTCAGGCCCCAGGCTTAGATAATTATAAACATATGTTCACACATAAATGTCTGGTGGAATATTCTAAAGTTGTGCTGGACATATAAGACATTCAGTATTCTTATCTCCTGACTACAAAATGCCAGCTGTACCCCACTATTACTGTGGTTAACCAAATACTTTCCAACCCCCACTTTTTCAAAATATATTTTTATTGATTTCAGAGAGGAAAGAGAGATAACAACATCAATGATGAGAGAGAATCATTGATTGGCTGCCTCTTGCACGCCCCCTACTGGGGATCGAGCCCGCCACCCAGGCATGTACCCTTGACCAGAATCGAACCCGGGACCCTTCAGTCCACAGGCCCGACTCTCTGAACCCCCACTTTTCCAAAAGGACCACTAGGGGGCAGTACTGCCTCCAGTGAGAATCAAGCTGTTCATTATCTATTAGAACTTGCTTGGGAACAAGAACCTCATTCTCTCAACCTTGGACTCCCCAGTGTGAACACAGTGCTTGGCATGTAGAGTGCTCCATGCGTATGATGGACAAGGCTATGACAGAGGGTTCTGTGGAGGCACAGAGGAGGGTGAGGTCAATCCAACAGGGAATTGAAAGGAGTAAAAGCTTTACAGGTGTTACAAAGAGAGTCACCTTCAACAGATCTGGTGCTGGAGGCTGGAGAGGAGGCGGGGTAGGAGGTAAGGTGGGAGAGGAAGTGCTATACCACAACAAGGGAATAAATCAAGAAAGAAGAAAACACAGGAACCAGGAAACATGATTCAAAACATTAGAGAAGGAAAGGAAATTCCCAGGGTGATGAGGAAAGGAACAGACAGGATATAAGTTTTGCACCAGGCCTAGAGAGCAACCAGTCCAGATTAGAACAGGAAGACAAAAGGCTCCCAGAGGAATACCTCAAGAAAAAGAAAAAGGTTTTAAAAATGGATTTGATGGATAACCTGAAGTGTTTACCACAGCGAGAGGAATTTTACAGTCCTATCGGAGTGTACAGGAAAGAATTGATAGACACGAAAGCAAACAAAGCAAATAGAAAACTAAAGCAATTAACACAACAAATATTAATACTGCTGTTCTTATGTTTTGTTTTTTTTTTTACAAAGGGATAGATTAAAAGTGAAGCTAATCAGTATAGATTATTCTTTTGAGAAATTAGGTGTCAAAAAGAAAAAGAGAGTTCAGAGAAGAGAAACACAATGGCATGAAAACTTTCCCTAACTGATCCTCTGACAGCCCATTCCTATAGTAGTATGAGCTGGCATACACTGTCAATCAATCTGATGTAATACCTTTAGCAACCCTGTGAGGCAAGCAGGTTTCATTAGCCTCCTTTTATAGATAAGGAAACAAGCTGCAAGAGCTGAAAAATGTACCCAGAATTGAATAGAAGTGGAATCATACTTCCTAGAATCCAAAACACTTGCTCTTCTATATTCTATAAATAACTTTCCAAAACATCACTTTGTCAAAAATCATACTATACTCATAAGAATAAAATCTAAAAGTGGCCAAAAATCAGCTCCAACATAATGAAATCCTCTTTTTTTAAAAATATGTTTTTATTGATTTCAGAGAGGACGGGAGAGGAAGAGATAGAAACATCAATGATGAAAGAATCATTGATCTGCTGACTCCTGCACACCCCCTATGGAAATTGAGCCCGCAACCAGGAATGTGCCCTTGACCAAAATCAAACCCAGGACCCTTCAGTCTGCAAGTTGACACTCTGTCCACTGAGCCAAACCAGTTATGGCATGAAAACCTCTTGAAATAAAAACATATTATGCCTAGTAAAGAATTAAAAATAGAACAATTCTATAGTTAAATCTATTTTAACTATTAATATTACAGTATGTTTAAGTTAAGTGAATTAAATTCCTTTAATTGAAAACTAAAAAGAATCAATAATTTTAAGAATAAAACCAAATACACAAAGATTAAAAATATAGTATATAAAGGGGAGAAAAACAAATATAAAAATGATCACTAAATATGTGACTGTTATCTGTGAATGCATCAAAAAAACATTTTCCAACATTAATATCTGCTTCAGAAATTTCAAAATATATAAACTTTTCACTCACTCTCTCAAGATTATTTTGTAACTAGTAAGAACATATAGATACTCCTGATATACAAACACTTAACTCAAGACTATCTCCATGCCAATGGCTGGTCACTGCCCTGAAAGAGATGGAGCCACACACATTCCCAATGGCTTTCTCTCCACAGCCTTGATGGGAATATCTTCATGGCACCACTATTTACCCACTCATCATACACAAAGGTGTTTAGGGATGCCAAATCCTATTTAGACAACATGTAGTAGAACTAATGTGCATCTGAAATGGGAAATTCCTAATATTTTTCATCACAAATATAGTAGTTCAGCTACTTGATAGGTTAAACAGGTCTTTAAAGGTTGGCCTAGAAACTTATCCATTTATAATACCACTAGAGGCCCGGTGCATGAAATTTGTGCACTGGGGGCAGGGGGCCTCAGCCTGGCCTGCCCCCTCTCCCAGTCTGGACAACCCAGGGGGATGTCCGCCTGCTGGCTTAGGCCCACTC